GGAGCGCCCTGTGTCTGCTGCTGCCGAAGCGGACGGAACCCAGAGGCACAAACCCTCCTAAACCCTCGGCTATTCTGCTAACCTCTAAACCCTCATTAGGGTTTGCGGGGGTTTTGATGAGTTTTAAAACAAGTCTGCGCAAAGCCTCGACTCTGCGCCGCTGCCGCGAGGCCGGGGGGGCCCCCCGGGGGCCCCCCAGGGGGGTACAGCCCACCATTTGCTGGGCCTCCGAGACCCTCCTTCTGAGGGCCCCATCAGTTTGCACATCCACCACTATGACTTCTCTGCAGCAGCAGGGGCCCCCCTGGGGGCCCCTGCTGCTGCAGGGGCCCCCGGAGGCCCCCAGCTCCTGCAGCACCAAGTCAATGGCCTGCTGCCACTCCGGGTCTTCCCACGCGTACACCAGCTGCTGCTGCTGCTGCTGCTGCTGCTGCTGCGCGCAGGACCCTGCCACAGAAGAAGCAGACGAAAACGACGACGGGGGCCCCAGGGGGGCCCCCAGGGGGGCCCCCAGCGGGGCCCCCAGCGGGGCCCCCAGGGGGGCCCCCAGCGGGGGGGCCCCCCGCCGCTCCCGCGGGGAAACTCCGCAGGGGCTCAAGAGGCCCTCAGTGCTTCCCCCGTCTCTGTCTCCCAGGGCCCCCCTTGCTGCTCTGCACCCTGCTGCCGTTGCTGCTGCTGCTGCTGCTTCTGCTGCAGCAGCAGCAGCAGCAGCAGCAGCATGGGATCCCTCCCCTGCTGCTTCTGGCTCCAGAGACCCGCAAAACATGCTGCTGTGGGGGCCCCCCCCAAGCCCTGGGGGGGCCCTTTTCATGCGGCTAAGGGGGGCTGGGGCTGCGAATTGGGGGGCCCCCCAGGGGGGCCCCTCGGTCTCTTTTCCCTGCTGCTGCTGCTGCTGCTGCAGCTGCTGCTGCAGCTGCTGCTGCTGCGGGGGAGGGAGCCTCGCGCATGCGCTCTGGGGCGACGAGAACAGCGAGGCCGGCGAGACCACAGCTGCGCCATCTGCTGCTGCTGCTGCTGCTGCTGCTGCTGCTGCTGCTGGTGGCTGCTCTGCTGCTGCTGAGGGCCTCGAAGAGGGTTCTGGGGCGGGCAAGAGGTCGAGGACGGAGGCGGGGGCCCCCCGGGGGCCCCCCGCCCGGAGCGGAGCGCTGGCAGCAGCAGCGGGGGCCGCAGCAGCAGCTGCTGCTGCTGCTGCTGCTGCTGCTGCTGCTGCGCTGCTGTGGCGGCGCTCCCAAAGAACCCGGAACTCAGCAGCAGCAACAGCGGGACAAGAGGGGCCCCCGTCGTACAACAAAACCCCCGGAAGACACAAAAGGTCTGTGGGCTCGAGGGCCCCCAGGGCCCTGTACTTGTAAGTTGTGCTGCAGCGGGGCAGCTCTTCCAGCAGCAAAGCCAGCAGCAGCCGCAGCAGCGGGGAAGTGCTGCTGCAGTCCGCCAGCTGCTGCAGCAAACTGATCTCGGCCATGCAAACTTCTCCCAACTGCCGCAAAAACAGCTGCCGCAAACTCAGCAGTACCCAGTGGGGGGGCCCCCGCAGCAGCTGCAGCAGCGGGGGGGCCCCCACGGCCCGCTGCGCCTCCTGCGGCACCAGCTGCCGCAGCAGCAGCACGCCCAGCTCCCCCACAGCCTGCAGCCGCAAACCCTAAACCCTAAACCCTAAACCCTAAACCCTACACGCCCGCTCGAGTCCCTCGGACAGCGCCAGCAGCCACAAAACCCAACTAAAAACGCCAAACATGAAACCCCAAACCCGAACCCCTAAACCCTAAACCCTAAACCCGAATCCCTAAACCCTAAACCCTACACTCTAAACCCTAAACCCTAAACGCGAAACCCTGAGACCATGAACCCTTTTCGAAGCTGCGTATGCTGGTGGGTGGGGGCCCCTGAGAGGGGCCTCCCAAGGGGCCCCCACCAAGGTGGAGGGGCCCCCAGCTGGGGGGCCCCCAGGGGCCCCCAGGGGCCCCCAGCTGGGGGGCCCCCAGGGGCCCCCAGGGGCCCCCAGGGGCCCCCAAAGACAAAGGGGACAAATAGTACCTTTTTAATTTGGCTTTGGGTCTCTGGATCGGTGGGGATGGGGGGCAAGGGGACAGAAGAGAGTGGGGGGGGCCCCCCCCTCATTCCGCGGTAGATCAGGAAGGGGCCCCCCCCCCCTGAAAAGGGTACAGCTATGGGGGGCCCCGAGCCCCTCACCGCCCGGGGGGCCCCCTGGGGGCCCCCCGCAGAGTCAGGGGACCCTGCACCCTTGGGGGCCCCCCGCCGGTCCCGGGGGCCCCCAATTCTTCCTGCTTCTGCAACAACTGACACGGGGCCCTGGGGTACTTGTAAGAGCCCGGGGGGCCCCTTGGGGGCCCCCAGAGCTGCTTTTGCTGCTGAGGCCTCTGCTGCTGCTGCCACCTGCAGCCGGGGGGACTTCCCCGCCCCCGGCGCTGCTGCTGCTGCTGCTGGCTCTGCTGCAGCAGCAGCAGCAGCAGCAGCAGCAGCAGCAGCGTCTGCGGGGCCCTCCAGGGGGGCCCCAAAGCAGCTAGGGCGTTTCTTAGAACAGGGGAGGGGCCCCCTGGGGGGGCCCCCCTTTCTCTTGCCCTGGGTTTGGAACTCCTCAGCCAGGGGGGCCCCCAAGGGTTTGACGGGGGGCCCCCGGGCCCTCCTTGACGGCCGCAGGGGCCCCCGCCTGCTGGGGGGCCCCTCCCCCTGCCCCAGGGTACAGTTCCCTGGGGGGCCCCCCTCTGCTGCAGAGGTGGAGGCCCCACTAGAGGGGGACCCCTCGTAGTCGGAGTCGTTGGGATCGTCTCCAGACGTGTCTTCGGTCTCTTCTTCACCTGCTGCTGCTGCTGCTGCTGCTGCTGCTGCTGCTGCTGCTGCTGCTGCTTCGTCGGCGCTGCTGCTGCTGCTCTTTCGGGGGGGGCCCCCGTCAGAAGCAGCTTTGCTGGGCGGCTCTTCTTCTCCGCGGCAGCTGCTCCTGCCGCTGCTGCGGCTGCTGCGGCTGCTGCGGCTGCTGCTGCTGCCGCTGCTGCTGCTGCTGCTGCTGCTGCTGCCTGTGTCGCTGTCGCAGCTGTCAGTGACATCCGACAGCAAAGAAGTTTCCCCACTCCCCAAACTTATCTCCTCCGCGGGGCTGCGGGGGGCCCCCCTGGGGAGTACCCTGGGGGGCCCCCCGCCGGCCTTGGGGGGCCCCTCAGCAGCTCTGGGGGCCCCCTCAGCAGCTCGGGGGGCCCCCTCAGCAGCTCGGGGGGCCCCCCCTGCTGCTTTGGGGGCCCCCAGCCGGCTGCGGAGGCTCTTGCGTCTGCGGGGAAACTCAGGCAGCGACGCGTCGCTGGCCCTGCCCTCTGCTGCTGCTGCTGCTGCTGCTGCTGCTGCTGCTGCTGCTGCTGCTGCTGCTCTTCTTGTAGTGGCAAGCGAGGGGGCCTCCAGGGGGGGGCCCCCCAAGCGGCTGCGGCCCAGCAGCTCGCTGCGGCGCCGCAAGGGGACACTTCCTGCTAGTGAGGAGACAGAGTTTGTCTCTTCGCTGCTGCTGATGTCTTTGCTGCTGCTGCTGCTGCTGCTGCTGCTGCTGCTGCTGCGGCCGCGGCTGCGGCTGCTGCTGCGCACGCTGCTGCTGCGCCCGCGCTTGCTTCGACCTTGCGGCTGGCGCCGCCGCTGCGCTGCAGCAGCAGCTGCTGCTGCGGCGGGTGCTGCTGCAGCAGTCTTCCGCGACGGCTGCTGCTGCTGCTGCTGCTGCTGCGCTGCTGCTGCTCTCCCCTCAGCAGGGCTGCTCGCCGCCTGTGCTGCTGCTGCTGCGGCCTGGGGGTCTGCTGCAGCAGCAGGTTCGTCCGAAAGCAGCAGCAGGACCTCGGCTTCCTCTGCTGCAGCAGCGAGAGCAGCAGCAGCAGCAGCAGGGCCCAGCTCGTCGTCGTCATCCGCTGCTGCTGCTGCTGCTGCTGCTGCTGCGTTGCCCCGCAAGTCCAGCACTTTTAGCTGCTGCTGATTCAGCAGCAAAGCCCCAGCCAGAGCCACCAGGTCTGCTGCAGCAATGCTGCAGTCCCTCAAAAAGAGACACTCCAGTTGGCAGGGGCCCTTTTCTCCGTCGCTCTGCAGCGCCCAAACCCTAAACCCTAAACCCTAAACCCTAAACCCTAAACCCTCAGTCGGACGCCCTGACGAAGCTTTCGCGCTCGCGTGTGCCAAACCCTAAACCCTAAACCCTAAACCCTAAATCCTAAGCCCTAGGCGCTACGCCGGAGTGCCTCAGTTCTACGCTGAATGCGCGTGCCCCCGCAGAGCCGCAGCGAGGGTTTAGGGTTTAGGGTTTAGGGTTTAGGGTTTAGGGTTTGGGGCTTGCCTGCAGCGCGTCGACGAGGGGCTGCAGCGGGAGGGGCCCCTCGTCCCCCTCAGGTGTCTGTACACCGCAGGGGTTGCTGCTGAGGTCCAAAGAACGCAAGCAGCAGCAGGGGGCCCCCAGGGCCCCCCCCAAGTGCTGCAGCACGGGGGCCCCCAGGGCATTCCCTGCGAGGTTTAGGCTGCGGAGAAAGGCCCCTGGGGGCCCCCCTGGGGGCCCCCCGTCTGCGGCGCGGGGCCTCCTCCCGCTGCTGCTGCTGCTGCTGCTGCTGCTGGGTCTGCTGCTGCTGCGCCTGCTGCTGCTGCCGTAGAGGGCCTCCAGCAGCAGCGCCACGCCGTCCTCGCTGAGGCTGCTGCAGCAGCAAGACAGGTCCAGGTGCAGCAGGGGCCCCCTGCTGCTTTGCTGCTGCAGCAGCCGCCGCAGCACTCGCAAAGAAACTTCACAAGACCCTAACCACAAAAAACCCAGCCCGGGGGCCCCCCCCTGCAGCGGGGGGGGCCCCAACCCTGCAGTACCCTGCAGCGAGAGTTCCCTCAGGGGGGCCCCCAGCAGTTTGAGTTTGCCTTCGAGGCCGCGGGGGCCCCAGGGGTTGCCTGCGAGCCGCAGCTGCTGCAGCAGGGGGGGCCCCCAGGGGCCCCCGGGGGGCCCCCCGGGGGCCCCGGGGGGCCCCCCCGCCGCGGGGCCCCCC